CTGAAATCTCATTTTATGATGCCAGATATATATATATATATGTATATATATATATATGTATATATATATATATATATGTATATATATATATATATATATATATAGAGAGAGAGAGAGAGAGAGAGAGATGAGAAAAAAATCAGCAAACCCGAAACACAAGGATTTATTTTGCTTAAACAATCCTCTTACACACCCACTGATTGCAATTCGGATAAAGTGAAGGATGATTTCTACCGAAAACCGTCCAGCCTCTTTTTGAAAGCCAAAACGTTCAGAAGCGTTTGTTGTTGTAGGTGATTTCAATGCACAAGTGGGTAGGCTGAGATAAGCAGAAAGGCGCTTAGGTGGCACTTTCGAGATTCCAGCTGAACAAACAGATAATGGTGATCGCCTACTTCAGTTGTGCTCAGATAATCGTCTGTTCTTAGCTAGCACAAACTTCAGACATAAAGAAAGATATTGTCTGACGTGGCGTACACGCTGAGCTGAACTCAGACAGACTATATTGCTATCAGTCATTGACGGAGGGGGTCAGTGGAAGACTGCCACTCCTTCTGGGGAAAGTGTTTGGATAGCGATCATGTGTGGGTTGGAGTGCGTATATTTCTGCGTCTCAACGGATGTAGAAAAAGTTTCGTCCTTTAAGCATGACAAAAGCAGCTGGACAACAAGAGCGCTAAGGCCGCCTTCACTGGGAAACCTGCTAGGCAGTTACTGGAAATGAACAATATCACCCAACCAGAAGGAGCTTGGTGCCATCTCGTCTGCAGCGATAACAGCGTTGAAGATCGTAGCTGACTGTAAAACAGTGGTAAGAAAGAACCACAAGTTATTAGCAGTTTCTTCTGAATTGATGGATGCATAAAAACGCATCTCCACAGGCTCTAAGTAAAATGAAGAATTAATGCAATTCAAATGTAGACTTACAAAAAGTCTACGCAACGACAGCGAAAAGCGATGGGCAATGAAGGCTATAGATGGAAAAGGCAGTGGCGATAGATGTCAGTTGACGATCATTTGGACTTATTAGGGGCGAAAAGTTCAACGGTTAGTGAGATTGCATTGTAAAAGGATGGGTCTTCGATTCACTCGCAGGACAGATGACTGGAACGATGGGTGGAATGTTTTGAGGAACAGTTCGACTTGCCTTCAGTCACTATTGCGTTGCCGAATATCTTACCGGATCCTGAATAGAACATTGATATAGTCCACCTCCAACACTTACAGAAGTCGATGAAGCGGTAGGTAACTTCAAACGAGGAAGTGCAGCATGACCAGACGGACTAAGTTCCTGAGATATATAAAGACGGCGATAGAGTGATTTTAGTCAGGTTAACTGAAGTGTTAACCAGTGTAGAAGAGTCAGATATGATCAGTTCTGACTGATCTCAATCACTGATTATCGAAGTCGTCGAGAAATACCGGAAGTCCTCCTATGATAACCACAGAGTCAGCCTCACAAACAGTGTCTAAGATTATAGTTTCTATGATCCTTAGAAGCCTGAGTAGAGCTCAGAAACAGCATGCTCAAGAAAACCAGGCAGATTTTCTACCTGACCATGGATGTGTCGGTCAAATATTCACACTCGGCAGGTTCGAGAACACGGGCACGCTTATCGATGCCCTACAATAGATATATTTTTTGACCTGAAATCTGTTGATTGAGAAGTCTTGTGGCAATGTCTCTCGTCGAAATTGAGTCAGCCCTGGTGGTCCGGTGGCCGACAAAATCTCTGTACGGATACAAAAGGATCGGTTGGCTTTTGCCAACTTATGCCATCTGTGGCATCGCCGCAATACCCGCCTGTCTACTGAGGGTCGATTTTACTATGCCGCAGTCCGCTCTGTTCTTCTCTATGGCTGTAAAACATGACCATTAAAGGTAGAAGAAATTAGAAGGCCTCATATGCTTTATCACTGCCGCCTTTGTAACACAGGTTGTGTTTTGTGGTGCCACCATATGAGTAACTTATGAGTCAAAAGTAGAGCTTTGGGCAAGTGAGGTGAGACAGTTGATGCAGCTGTTAATCTTCATCGAATGAGATGGTTGGGACATGTGTTACGTATGCCTAACTGCCGTCTATCTTATCCTACAATGTTGGTTGAAGTAGGTTCAGCCTGGAGAAAGATTCGGGGAGGCCAAACTTAAACATGGCACCAATGCATGAATTCCTTGAATCTTCGTTTGAGCCATGTAGGGCGATACAGACTGAGTGGTCAATGTCCGTGAAATAAAAGTAACCAGTGTTTGGAGACTGGATGATATGACTCAGAACCAATGTCAGTGGCTCTGATGTATCCACATATTATCCTCATCTTAACCGTTTTATTTAATCTCACCATTTTCTCACTCCGTCTTTCTCTTTTCTACTACTTTCTACTTCTTCTGACCAATTTTCCTCTCCTTCTTTACCTTCCATGTCATTGCCTTGTTACTTGGTGATCTAATATGAGGTGTAGCAACTTGGACTGTTACGCAGAAATTCCCGAGCCTATATTAATTCTGAAGATGATTATGATGATCAACAAGAAACGAATAGGTAAAATGGAGTGAATAGTTATTTTGAATACAAAATTCTAGGCTTCACATCTTTATTTCTAAAAAGCTTCAACAGTGCATATTAGATGTCAATGGATACCTCTTGGAAGATTTTTCTGCATTCTAAAAACTGTAGCAAACTAGTTTTCTGAAATTCTTCTCTCTAAACCGTCAAATTTCGGAGCATCTGGGTTGGCATGGCCAAAAAACAGTTTGTTTGTTGAAGTCTGATTCCAGACATAACCTTAGCGATTTTACAACATCTCTCACCGATAATGGACATAATTTCGCGGAAAAAAGCTTTATTTAGAATGAAAGATGGAATTCCAAGTATGACACAAGACAGCTGTGTTTATAAGTGTAAGGTCAATATTATTGGTGAGGGTTGTAGACGGTTGAGAATTTGAATGAATGAACGTAGGTTATGCATCCAACGTCCATGTAAGAATGACTTAGAAGTCAAAAGTTTAAAAAAGTTTTCAGTAACAGCAATGTATGTCACTAAAAATGAACACAGTAACTGACTTCGACGGTGTCGATATACTAGGAATTGGTTGTCATTTCCATAAAAATAGACTGACTTCAGAAACCTTACATTCTTTAACTATAACAAATAAAATAAACAAAAGAAAAGTCACCGGCTTATAAACTATTTGGCAAACTTCCTCAATGATATCATTAAATATAAAGGTTTCAAATTGAAATTGTTGAATGGAGCAATGCCCCTTAATTATTGCATGTGAATAAGGATGTCTTCTCAGATTTTCATTGAAGAACGAAGCGCAACAGGAAACTCCTCTTCATTTTTCTTTATTAACAACATGCATAAAACACATACATACATACATACATACATACATACATACATACATACATACATACATACATACATACATACATACATACATACATACATACATACATACATACATACATACATACATACATACATACATACATACATACATACATACATACATACATACATACATACATACATACATACATACATACATACATACATACATACATACATACATACATACATACATACATACATACATACATACATACATATATACATACCGTCACTGATTGGACCGAATTGGTAGGCCACTACTGGCATATGAACTCCTGTGTAGATCTCCGCCGATAAAATCAGTCTTACAGCAATGATGGATCTGCTCAATGATAACTAGTCATTTTGAGCAACAAATCACCTAACCGATCACTTACTTACAAAGTTTATTTTATGTACCATCAGATTTTATACATATTTGATCGTCAGTTAAAATCCAAATATTCTGCTGAAGAAACTCTGCGTTATGCAGCGGAACACTCTGACAAAATGTTGTATTGACTTGATAAAGATGCTGAAATTATATTGAAACTTGTTTTCATAAGGATTCATGAACTTTTTTTCCTAAATACCAGACGTTGTATAAATAAAATGAAGCTCAACAGAAATAATATCCAGTCACTTTTAAGGAAACTTAAAATGTTTAGTTTTCTTGTGCTAATTTCATCAACTAAATTTGACAGTTTGCTGTTACAAAGATTGACCAAGTTGAGTCTCATTTCTTAAACAACGTTTGCACAAGTATATGAATTCTACTTTGGTTGAACAACTACTGATGTCTTATAGTGGAGAGTTGAATGGAGAGATGAATACAATAATGCTTCAGCGGAAAAGATCAGTAGGTATGGAAATAATTGTAGCATAGTTTTTCAGCATTGAACGCATTTTCATTGCCTTAAAGTCTAATCCCTATATCCAGTCAGACAATTTTAAGATGATTCAACATGAAACATCAAATCAGGATTACATGCTTGTTACCAATGGTTAGTGACGCAAATCCCCAACTCAGATAAAACGCATGGTTTCTTTCCTTATGAAATCATTGTCCTTGTGTGTAGGATTTAATATTGTATTGTCAACTGGGTGATAACTTTTCCGTTTAAAAATTTACGTGAATATATCTTAGATCTTACGAGCGCTAAAGATGAATTTCAGTCGATAACGCTGAAGTACAGCTCTACTGTCTTACCGGTCAACTGGTATTAGGTGGTCTACAGCTTTGTATTCTCACCCTTAGTCAACACAATAAAATGTCATTTGTCAGTCTTGAACTTTTCAAATACACTGTCGGAACTTACCAAGTATAGACACTGATGATGAGCACATGCACGAAATCCAAATTTCAGAAACTATAACTATGAATAAATTTCGTAAGATTGATGTATTTTATCAAACCTATCTGAGTGATCAATCCAACCGAAGAGGATAAATCCTTTAACATTTAATGCCTAAAACTGATTTACTTATTAGAGTCCAGTCACTGTTACAATTTAACATCAGCTACCAATCTAAATCCGGTAACTCACCTAATTTTTCTTTAAACCCTTTGTATGAACACAAAAAGCAGAAACATTTTTAATCTCTTATAGGGCAGTTAAAGGCCTCATAGTCACTGTATATGCAATACTGACAAATATAAAACAAGGATAACTGTGGGATAACTATGATGACGAAAATACACTGATTGAAAACTTCACTCAGGCAACATCATAACATCTTTTCTTTCATATGTCAGTACACTTATGTTTGAAAATGTTTGAATCATTATTAAGAGAGTATCATTTAAATATTGCATGACAGTTAACAGATAAAATTATTAAGAAGATGAAAGTATTGAGACAAAAATAATCAGTTTTCCTTTCTTTAAATTAAATTTCGCTTCAGCGGAATCAACATCTATGTTACAAGGAAGCCGAAGATCCAATGGTTGAAATGCGACTGATGTATCTACTACTTTTAGTAGGATTCGATTCTGTAAATTCATTTTGAAAGAAAAATATTTGGATGGTCACACATTTCAGGCACATACAATTCAAAATAAATTGAAAATATTAGATACCCGTACAGACAATAAGATCAAATCTTACAACGTAATGATGGAAAAGGTTTGTAGAGAGCACAGTGATGATGATGATGATTTGGTGTTCTTTAGGCTCTGATGTTTTGTACAAAAAAAATCTAAACGTATGGCAAAACTACATAAGTTAGCCTTTTGCTCTCATTCTTGTCTGTGTATTTGTAGGTCTTAATGTATTCAGGGTACAAATTTGAGTAGCAACTGGAGAAATGCCATACAAGTTTGAAACTCCTCAGGTGGAATGACTCAGGATAATTATATTTCATGTGACTGTAGACTTAATTCTCTATAAATAATGGTAATTTCTAACTAAAAGTAAGCTGATTTTTTAAAGTTCCTTACCTCTTAGAAACACTGATCTCACCTCGGATTCTAAAGTTTCTATGCATTCTATTTAGTTCTGAAGATTATACTTAGTTGTGTCACTTCAGTAGTATGGTATGAATTATGAAGACAATTATTCCAATTTGACAGGGTGGGGTTATTGATTTCCACTCCTACAGTCTTTGTTCTTTAACTTCATAGTTTTAGCTCATAATCACCCTCGATTTTTTGCCTTAATCATTAAGCATTAACCATTACTGATCGAAACAGGTAGACTAAAGCCCTGTAATTGCCTATAGAAGCAGTTATCTCTAACCATTGTCTGTGAAAAGTTAAAAATCTAGCTTGAAATGGTTGCTTGTAAAAACACTCTTAAGGAAATCTCACAAGACTTTTTTCCCTTTCCCTAAACCTAGATTTTTCAAACAAACAAAGTTTTGGCAACAAAATTAGTCATTGAGTAAAAATTAAAAAATTATTATTTACTTCAACAAGGGAAAATTATTTTTCTGCATACTTTGGTTAAATTAACATCACATTGTTTCCTGATTGTAAACCGGGTAGCTTAAATATCAGTTTCAATTTGTTCAAATGTTCAGAAAGATTAAATGGTATTACTTCAGCTGACCATGAAATATATTTTGCTTCCTGTTGCTGAGAACTCCCCATATTCATTGAAATGTCGTTTATCTCCTCGATTAGAATTTTATCATTTGACTGGGTGGAAGAATTAGAGATGTTAGATTTTTCCGATGGCAGCATGAGAGATTGAATTGCATATGAATCAATATCATCATGATTACTCTCTCCAGCATTTTTCAATTTCGTTAAAGTTTCCAAAGTCATAGTGGAAATGGAGTTAACTTGATGATTCATTTCTACATCTTGTTTTATAAATGACTCTTTTAAAAAGCCTACTGACCTGTACACTTGTTCTTTACTTCCATATGCATTTGACTGTCTCAGTAGTTTTGGCCGCATTGGAACATCTGAATGAGTAACACTATTTGATTCAATTGTAGGTAAGAATTTTTCTTTCTCTAAATAATTCAATCCAAGCCAAATAAGTTGATAGCGATCATTATCATGTTCCATTTGAGAATAAACTAGACATTGGTTGTCTGTATGACTATCAGTCAAAGATTCATTGAAACTATGGTCAACAAATACTGTTGGATTAAAAGCCAAAGTGATGGCGTCAACTACGATTAGAAGAAAGAGAATACATGTTATTTTTATTTACAAGAACTTTGATAAAATTAAAAATAGGATTGTGTTGAATAATAATAACTTAAAACTATTATCACTGCAAACTGGTGATATGATACTCGCAGTATGATAACCTAGAAGTTATAGATTTATCCTTGACTGTCTGTTAATTATGAAATAGTAAAATTAAAAATAGGTCATCTTACATTTGTTATCAATTACCTTCATTTATGATAAATGCATCACCACATTTAACCGGAACTGGGCTATCAGGGGATTTAGGCTCTGGGACAGCTGACCATTCACAAAAATTGACAATCAAAGGCTGTTTCTTTTCCTTTAGAAAAATAAAGGTAATCGGCGACTATTTTAAGTTTTTTGTATTGAATACTTATTTATTTCGATGAAAAAGTCGTTAAATAAATAGGTGTAATTAAAACGTGGATGATTAAATTAGAAGAATACACTAGATTTGTTACATCCAACTACATATTTGTCAGCTATTAACAAGCCAGAAAAGTAAAACAATTTTTTAAGGGTGGGTGAATGAATACTAACTACGAAAGTGAAAAACAGTGTGAATGAGAATGGATAATCCTAACGCTTGAGGCGTTCAAATGAAAACCACTACAATTAAAAGGGATTTTGAAAATTTTATAAACTAAAGTAAAGAAATTTTTATAACTTCAGTCGCCACTTTTATATATCTTTACTAGTGACTTGATATACCCTAAGCTGTATATACATGTGGACTACTGCATATGAGGACGCTTGTACAAATACTTTCAAATTCTACCTCTAATAATCACTCAGTTTCTCCGTAAATAGAAAAGGCGGTAATGTAACAGAAAGTGCATTTACAACGTCAAAAGTAACGTCCACGAGATCTACAAATCACAAGGAATATATATATATATGTATATATATATATATAGGCTATTCCCAGGCCTACTATATTTGAATCCTATTGATTTCTCATCGCTTCAGTCAACCTGATACTTAAATGTTCGTTAACTTGTTTTTTCCTGAAACTTCGAAGCAAAGTGATTGGTTAAAAATGGCTTTAGGCATATTCTGCACACTACAACAGGAAGATAAGGAAGTAATAATGCTACTCGGGTTGTGTGAAGAAATTAATTGAAAATTAGGCACTGAACACAAGATCCGAATTTTAACCTCCTGACTGCCGTAGTCTGTGTGAACTACAGTAGGATAGAACTGCAGTATTATTTGGTCAGCCATTAGTCTCTCAATTTGTGGTTTAAGAATAATCATGCATTTCAGAATTGAATAGTTGAGTTACATCACAAGTCGACTAAAGTTTACCAAGGTATATTTTAGTTATTGATATATTTGTCGAATTGTTTCATCGTTTCGAGGTTTGATTATATTGTCCTCAAAAAATACGATAACATTAAAGTGAAACAGGCGATAAGCATTTTTTTATTTCATGCCCGAAATCCCATTGGCAGTGCACTATGATATTGAAGGCATCAAGAAAGCAGACAATAAACTTACAACTTATTGACTGAAAATATATAAGACCATTCATACATCTCCATTCATATTGATGCTTTTACTAACCAACTATAACTGAGTGACCTTCATGAGATGGAATTTGTACACGTGAACTTGTTGATAATGAAGGATCGTTACTCGCACACACTTGTATAATGTTGGGATACTAAAGGTCTTTCTCAAAACAAAGCATTCTAATGGGTTACGGTAGTCACGTGTAGCTACCTTTGAAACAATATTTTACGGTAATACAGATAGAGATTTGAAAAACTAAATCGAATTAGTGACCAATTTACAAACAGTCTACTTGAGACAAAGAGATTTCAGTTTTCAAAGTTTCGTCACTTAAAGAAAAGGAAACTTATCCGTTTGTTCTCTTAAGGGACTATGAAAATGCCAGTGGTAAAACCACTTATGAAAAGCTGAAGAAACAAAAATAGTAACTAGCATAAAATGCGTTCTCACTGACATTACTAGATAAGAATTCAAGCCTGAAACAGCGTCAATGAACACATTAGACCTCAAATCCCATGGTGATGAGACGGTTACAGGTTTTCCATAACAGGTACCTGCATCCGGTTGAATCACCTTATAAGCAGTGCTGAGGTCAGGTGAGTGGTACTAGGCAAGACAGGCAAGAAAATGAATGAGGTTGTGAACTTTAGCCGACTGAGGTGACATGGACACGTACTGTGCATGTTGACCCACCACCTACTTCAAAGTGCTGTGCTAGAAGTTGGATTAGATCGGAAGAGGTTTCCAAGTGGCTAGACCAAGATGTGGCACGAGTCAGTAAACTCCCTGAATGTTAGTCTGAACCTCTGTGAGGAGATTAAGACTGCCTGGTTGAGGTTCCCAAGAAGATAGGGATCAGTGGTTGAGGACTCTTAGTGACATGGCTCAAAATCGGTCACAATGACTCAAATGTATACACTCCTTGAGGTCTTTTAAAGATGGAATATTTGCATCAACTTTTATCTCCAAATTGTTGATTATCTTATGCAAATTCGTCTACTTTGATATCGCTCTTTTTCTATCTACTCACTCCTTTCATACTACTGTGAAATATGGCAAATTGAACCGATGCACTTGTGCCGGAGGTTCTAAGTTAATTTTGTCATTTGATCAAGTCTTAGAATGATGCTCTTTTTCCCGTAAAAAATTATTACTAAGTATGTGCAGCAGAAATTGGGGCACTGGACAACATTGGTGTGCATATATTAGTTAACTTGTTCCTGTGGAGTTAGGCACATTGGCTATGTCACATACTCGAGTTCGAAGAATACCTAGTCTGATTGGCTTAAGAATTAGAAGAATATGTATTCAGTTCCGTTACAGAAAATCTCAGTGACTAAGAATACTTGACTTTTTTCAAAGGCTTGTACAAAGCAGGATCAAATCAATCATAAGAAGTGAGAGCAGAGCATTAATCATTCAAAACGTTGGGACCATAAGCATGCATTTAAGGGAAATGCATGCAAACTTCATTCTTTGCGGTGACCATCATAACATTTGACCATTCTACAGAATTCCTTAATGGCGTAGTAATATTCCATTTTTCATTACCTTGTTTATTCTCCTGTTCTAAATCCCTATCTATATTATCCAATATATCTTTTATTATCCAATGTATTTTGACACTTGGATCCTAAATTATTTTGAAATGTTCCATCATTTCTTCGGGAGGAAATACATTTTACTTCTCTCCAATCACCGTTTCTATCTCTAATGGTGAAGTTGCTAAAAACAAGTTAGATAACTCAGTCATCACTCAAACTAGATTTGTATTTATGTATTCAAAAGCTTATAAATCAAGTAAAGTATACTCGTTATTTTGATATTTTTAATTATCTATAAATGAAAAAAAACATGATGAAAAGTCAACAAAAACAATCTTGTCCTGTTTTTCATTTAAAGAAAAATATAAATACTAAAGTAATAGACAAAAATATATGCTTCCGTGAAAACTCTCGGAGAAAGGCAATATAACTAACACAACGAAAGTCATATAAAAATATAACTAATTTTAGTCACTTTTTTACCGTTATATAAAGCTCATTCGTTTGATTTATGTCTACCATAAAATGCTTTAAAAATCATTAATAAACTCTTAATTCTCATCATGATATCTAAAAAAGTGAAGCAGAACAACTATGAATAGAGATCAAAGTGGATAGGTGAGACATCAGCAATGGGAAAATAGTAGGTACAGAGTAATAAAGTATTGACACTATATAAGATTACAGGAAGTGAATGCATGTATACCATAGTAATCTATCTCAAGACTTCAAGCTTGTAAAGGGGGAATATATGTATCCTAACCATATCGATCGATGTGACCTCCTAGTCTCATCAGACGAATTTTCTCTACTACCTTAAGCCTAATAACTACTCCTGTGCTTGTTAGGTGATTTCATCACTTTAAGAAAGAGGAAGTACCAGTAGTTCATCAAAAGTGAGTGAATTCTTGTTTCATTTTCAGACGTTCTATGCAACTTTCTAAGAATTTCAAGCAATCTAACCTTTTCCAAATTGGTATTCATCATGGACTGATATCAGTTGGAGGAATATTGGGAACCTGGCAGCAATAAACAGTACGGGACTCCCCAGCAGTGCACACACATGAACCCCGCCAGCCAGGGGTTGAACTCAGGACCTTCAGGTTCCGTGGCCAGCATGTTACCATCACTAAGTCACTATAAACCCCAAGTCAAATCAATCTGATATTTGTAGTAGAGTCACTTCGAAAGATTAAGATTACTGAACACCGGAATTTCCTATTCAATATCAAGCCAGTCGAAGCCATAAATTGTCATAAACTCTGTCAATTACTTGAGAATATATTCAATATAGTTGCAACTATTTTATGTTTATTAGCTAAATGAATAGTAATGTATCACCTGAATGGTATTCTGAAACTACTTTTTACCGCTGGATAAAAAAATCAGTAATAAATTTATTTGGTAAATAGTAAATACGAGTGCATTTCCTGTGAAAATACAAATTAGATCCATGGATCATTTCAGCTACTGACAACACAGATATATTTTGATTTCTTTAACAGAACTTATCTGACTAAAGACAAGGCAAACAACCGATTGGGTACAATATAAACAATCTGCATTTTTAGTAACAAAGGAACTTTATGCAGAAGATGTTCTTGGTACAATCAAAGTAACCAAATAGAGTCGATAGAATAAGAAATATTTAGGAATAACAATTTTTAATCAATCAAAAGGTGTATTCTGACATATATTTGCTTACCGTTTGGGTAAGTTTAACAACAAACCGTACAATTGGTGGAGACATGCTTTTATGAAAACTCGCCATTTGACTGTTGATAAACTTCCGATAACCAGCTGGATCATTCTCTGACATTTCATCTAACATCTTCCACAATCTGTTTGCATCTTCCAGTAACTTGTTGGCTGACATATTTAACTAAATTTCATCAAAGGGTAAGCAAATATTTATTACAAAGCAAAAGTGAAATATATTCGAAGAATATTGTTATCCAATGAAAACACTAAACGCCAGGGTATTAGGTAACCTCATAACGTTATTCTAAGAACTGGTAAGATTATAGAAAAATTAGTTTTAGGGACAATAAAATTCCAATTTCCATTTCTTGTCCTTCAACTGTGAGAGCACAAATATAGGTAGTCAATGACGTATTTATGAAGTATTTCTGAGTAAGAAAATATTGTTACAGTTTATCGCCACTGAATGTGTTCCAGTTTCATAATAGCTAAATTTGTTTAGCGATTCGAAATCTAGTCGTTCATGGCAGCATTTGATAATATTATCGGAACAAATGAGTGTCTTCAAACGACATTAATTACCCTTCAGCAACTGCTTGTAAATAATACTGTTTCGTAGCTGCTAAAGTACCATCAAGGAGCAATAATGAGTCCGTTTCTTTGTGTGCTCCTCCAATACTCGAAAACAAAGTATTTGAAGTTACATGATTTTCATTCTAACTGAGGTGTCTTGATATCACTATTCACCTGTGATGGCAGCAGAATGACCCAAGAGTGTTGAAATGATCCATGGAAGTAAAGAATCTAATATGAAGTTGTTGCTTTGGTTCACCTATTAGGCTGTTGAGTAACCACAAGTAAGCTCATAAGCTAAACCTTAGCCACAACTAATTAAACCATAGTAAGTAGAACAGGTTGATATCTGATATCTTAGGGAATAATTCACATACTTCACCCCCCTGATCTGAAGTTTTAATGCATTTTTACTGATGTATTTGGTAAGATCTTACCAGATATTAGAAGGTATGTTTTGACTGTGATAGTCTGAACATACCTCAGGAGCCTGAATCTCAAAAGTACCACTCAAAATTATTAAGGATAACCAGTTCATTGAATTTCAATCTTCTTCTGCTTATATTCAGTCTCGAAATAAAACTCGTCAGGTTTCTTCTGAGAAGTTGGTAAGTCTTAAATATTAACTTGCTATCATGCTTGAAAAGTTAGCACTGACTCCATAACTATTCCATAAAGTCATTAATAATCTACATAGTGATAAGGTAGTCAAGCACTTTTATTCAAAGATATTTAGAAAACTTAAAATCCAACTACCAAAGAGAATATTTCTAATTTTCAATGTGTTAACCGCAATCATAAGAATCACTAAAGTCTGCGAAACTAGTTTTATCTAACTAACCTTTCATCTAAAAAAAAAAATCCAAAATTACCCTTTGTGTTGTAAACATTTAATGGAAGATTACAAAAAATAACATTGAAATATTACTGAAATCAATGCAGAAAATGGTCATTCAATGTTATTTCGATTGCTAATTATCTTGATTAAACTCTTTCAGAACGAATTCAATTTTACCATACAGTAACTCTATCTGATTCTATGTTGGATACTAAATAAGTGTTGTATATGGAAACTCCCAAATGAAAGCATTGCACAAGAATTCAATTCACAATGAATTTGGTGTCACTTGACTAGCTCCTTTCAATCTAACATGAGCAAAATAATTGAATATTTGGTGATATAAGAATAAAATGCTCAGTAGTACACTGTTATCTTAAAGCTGTTAGTCATAATCGCATAAAATGTACGAATTGAAACAAACTGTACAATCCAGTCAGTCTCTGAAAAGTAACCAATGTACTGTTTTTTTTAATTACACAATGCACACTAAATTCATTCAACTGATTTCTCAAGTTGTCTACCAAAATCAATGAACCAAATCTTAGTTGTAGAATGTTAAGTAATACATCGTAAGACATGATATTTAAGAAGGCCTTCTCATGCTCAATTGTCGAAAATATTATCTATTTCTGCAAACTGTCGGATGCATCCTTGAATCCTTAAGAGAATATCAGTTTTCTTCAGAATTCTGATGGTTATCCGTAACTGAAAGCTCTGGGTCCAGAGTGTGAAGATTTTTACCTCAATAAACCTTCAATTAAAGTCATCCCTAAGCAGTACTCATAGTTCCTTTGATGGTAGAAACAGCAATGAGTCTTATGTTAAAAACATTACTATTTACTGGACAATCCCAGTACAAATTAGTGTTTATAGTTATAACAAAATGCTTCATTTCCAGTAAGTAATACAGTATTACTATGCCATATATCTGATAAATAAAGTGAAATTTAAAACTAAGATAGTGCACAAGTTTCATTGTCATAAATGGTGATGAGGTTATATATAGAGTTCCTTGCAAACAGGGTAAATTACAAATGAGATTGCAAAGCTGATCTCGGGTGGCTGTGACATTTACGACATATCGCAAGATATTACCTTCCTTAATATGTAGTATAAGCTAATATAAACGCGTAACACGGTAACAAAATGCAGAATATATAATATTAAACTAGAATATTTTATATTCTCGAAATTGTAACGGCTCAAAAGTTGACATAAATATAAATAGATAAGACAGAAGAAAACGAGTGCACAGACGACCCAGATATATGAATCCCCTAATTGTTGCTTTAAGATATAAGAAACTCTTTTGTTTCCCTTTGAAAAACAAGATTTCCTTAATAATGTGACTAGAAAACCCTAATAAAATGATTAGAAACTGGCTTGATTGCCCCAAATGAGTTTAGATCTCATCTTTTAAATATTGAATATCTTCTCAATCTAACCTCGCCTGGTTAACTAGTTCACTAGTTACTAGACGGTCTTAAGCCCGGGTAAACAGGGAGGGCTGGGCATACGGCTAGCAACCCTACCCCACAAAACAAATCTAACCGCTAAACAAACTTCAAAGCACAAACAAAATGTAACAAATAATAACAAAATTATTCCTCGCTGGAATCGGAGAGGCGAAATGACGCCAGTTGGTGAAAGCCTTCGGGAAGACAATTGCCTGGGCCGATGTGTCTTCTCTCCCTCGATGAAAGCGAAAGTAAACATGGGGACATGGAATGTCCGCACCATGTTTCAACCCAGCAAGGCAGTCCAGATTGTAAACGAGATGAGAAGGTATCACATTGAAGTGCTTGGAATTTGCGAAAGCAGATGGAATGGGAGTGGACTCTCCAAACTGTCAACTGGAGAATCAATAATCTACTCCGATATTGTCACCCAGACGACAACCACGAACACACTGAGTTTTGAAGTGGCCATCATGATGTCCCCAACAGCATCGAAGGCTCTCTCTCATGCAGTGGGAACCAATCTCCTCCAGCATCAGGATCATGACAGCAAGACTCAACTCAAAAGGAAGGAAGGAAGGTCACAATCATACAATGCTACACTGTGCACCTACAAATAATGCAGATGAAGAGAAGAAGGAGGAATCCTACAGACAACTTCAATCAACATTGGACAAGAAGTCAGTTGGCGATATCAAAATTCTAATGGTTGGGGTGGCATGAATGCCAAACTGGGGTAGGACAACGCAGGAAGAGAACTAACCATGGACCGAGAAGCGCTCGGTGAGGTGATGAATGAGAATGGATAATTGTTTGCAGAATTCTGTGCATTCAACGATTTGGTGATTGGAGTCAGGCAATGTGTTCAAGCACAAGGATATCCACAAAGCGACATGGATTTCACCAGACTCCAGGACACACTAAAAATCAAATCGACTTCATCTCAATCTCAAGAAAATGGAGACGCAGTCTACTTGACACAAGGTCAAGAAGAGGAGCAGATGTAGGTTCACACCACTCACTATCTAGTGCAAGGAACCTACCTTCCAAATCAAGTTGAAAGTCTTCAAGGAAGCTGGTGATAGACCACAGTTCAAGTACAACACCCAGAACAGAAACTGAAGGATGAAACTACAAAGGAAATCTTCACGGCAGCCATCAAGACAAAATGGGAGACATCGAGCAACATCCCTGAAGAAACCTGTGTGGAAGAACACTGGAAGTCTTTGAAAGCTATGTGGAAAGAAACCTGCACAACAGTATTAGGAAGGAAGAAGAAAGAAGACAAGGAATGGATCTCGACGGATACCTGGAAGCTGATAGAGGAGAGGAGGATGGTGAAGCAGAAGATAAACCAGTGAAAGAATGCACAGCGACAAGAGGAACTGGGTACAATGTATAAAACATTACACTGGACAAAGAAGTGAAAAAGAGTGCATGGAAAGACAAAACACACTTCTACGAAACACTGGCAAGTGAAGCAGAACACGCTGCTGGTAGGAGCAAGAGAGACCTGACAACATTGTATCAAATAACTAGGTTACTATCTAGGAAGAGATCAACACAGATGAAACAAATCAAAAATGATGAAGGGCCTTTAATTGAAAAAGAATAGAAACAAAGGAAACAATGGGCCGACCACTTCAAGAAGCTCTTGAATCCACCACCACCTGCACTTCGTCCAGAAATACCACCTACAGCCGCTGAACTACAAGTGAACATAAATCCTCCAACAAAAATGCAAGTCCTGAACGCCATAAAGCTGCTGAAATGAGGGAAAGCAGCGGGACCTGATGGGATACCGCCAGAAGCACTGAGAACAGATGCAGAGACAACAGCGGACATGCTCACACCACACTAGTATTGCAGAAGGTGTGGAAGGAAGAGAAGGTACCTGTCTATTGATGGGAAGAAGGGTTACCTTGTCAAACTCCCGAAGAAGGGAGACCTCAGTGTTTGCAAGAACTGGCGAGGAATCACTCTCCTGTCCACCCCAAGCAAAATGTTAAGCCTCATCATCTTGGAGAGACTAAAGGATGCGCTAGGTTCAAAACTACGACCGGAACAGGCAGGCTTCAGGAAGTACAAATCATATGCGGACCGAATCGCAACGCTTCGCATCATCATAGAACAGAGCATAGAATGGTAGTCAACTCTCTACCTCAACTTTATCGATTTTGAGAAGGCCATTGACAGCGTCGACCGAGAGGTAATTTGGAAACTGCTTCAATACTACGGAGTACCGCAAACACTTATCAGCCTCATTCAACAACTATATGAAGACGCCACATGCCAGCCAAGTAATTCACA